CAATAACTATAGCCCAAAATTATTAATCCATGAGGAACCTGGTATAGGAGTCAAATATTGCACAATAGTGCTGAGTAGGGGTGTATTCGGTTCGGTTCGGTTCGGTTTTTTACCAAAAATTGAATCGAACCGAAATAAACGGGTTTTCAATATTTAAACCGAAACCGAAACCGAAACCGAATAGTTAAAAAACCGACAAAACTGAAACCGATTTTTTCGGTTCGGTTTGGTTTTTTTAACGGTTCGGGTTTTTCGGTTCGGTTCGGTTTATCGGTTTTTCAATAAAAAAAATCACTTGAAACTATAATTTTTTTTACAAAAATTGCCTATTCGGTTCAATATGGAACAAATGGGTTCCATATGGAAAACCCGAACCGAACCGAATCAAAAAAATGAAGTCTTTAAATCGAACCGAAAATCGAACCGTTTAAAGCCAAACCGAACCGAACCGAACCGTTTTACTCGGTTCGTGTCGGTTTTTTGGTTTTCTCGGTTTCGTTGCTCAGCCGTAGTGCTGAGGTCGAGCCTTGCTCACCTAATAATGCACCGTAGTGCTGAGGTCGGGCCTTGCCCACCTAACTTGTACTATGTGTCTTCATTAGACACTCTACTACTACTTAAATTTGTAGCTGTTAGACTCTATGGCATGCCATTAATACCACTGAACCTCAATAACATACTTGGGCATTTAGTCATGAATTAAATCAACCATGGCAATGTATAACCATATAATTAACGTTAGGGCAATTCATACCCAAAATAACATCCATGGCAAAATATTGTATTTATATGTGATCAATGCATTATAATTTCACACTTTGACATATAAAGGTCATGTCGATATTATGAATAATGACATAATATCATACTGATATAAACAAGATAGACTCATCGTAAGTCTTCATGATGATGTATAAAACATCTATGCATAATGTCATGCATGTATTGCACTCACCTTGACACTTTATAATTTTCAAAAGATTTACCTCACAATGCTCCCAACTTAATCCCTTTTATACTCGATTTGTTTCGGTCACAAAGTCAATCACGATACGCACAAAATCACAAATTGATATTGATACATATGTTAGTATTGTACTAACATAAATACAATTCCAAAACCAAATCCATAATTATACTCGAAACTTATTCTCTACCAAAATACTTCAACACTTATTATTTCTTTTAATATTGGCACCAACTTTTCCAATTTACACAAAATTGTCCTTCACCATTTTATCACTTAAATTTTTAATACAAAAAATTCCAGCATTGAAATTATTACCAACCAAGTACTTTTACAAAAGAACAATTACATTTAAGCACCTCAACTATACGAATATTGCATTTAAATCACCAAACTTCCAAAATGATCAAATTTCATATCCTAACACTCATTTAAATTCCCAAACAGAAATTTCCAGCATAGTAAACAAACTATTAAACAATTACATAATAATCATCAATTTTTCCAAAATTGCCAATTTGGACCCCCAACTTTTCAAAAATTAAATAATGGTCCCCAAATTTTTCTAAGGTTTGTAGAATACTTCCTACATCATTTCTAGCCCTTACATAATTTTTCACAATTTTTCTCACCCAAACTACCATGGTTGAATACTCTAAACCTTACAAAACTAGGGTTTTCATGATTTTGGTCGATTTTGATTCGATTAAAGCATGAAATCCACTTCCATCCAACCTTACAGCATCTCTATAATCAAAGCCCTAATTAAATTTGATCAAAACACAAAGTTCTACTACTCCATCATTTGATTCAAAATCATAGAAGCGTTTCTAGGAAGATTGAACATGTTTTAATCATCATACAAGCTTGAAAATGAATCTACAACCCCAAAAACATCAAGATTCATCATCAATTCCATAAATCCTAATATGAACAAAAACCCTTGAATTTTGGATATTTGAAATCAAGCAAGATTAGCAAGCATAAATAGTACAAAAAGATAGCATTTCTCGCGTATAACAATTTTCTATTTGACAGCATAACTCGAAATCCAAAGAAAATTGCTCAAAATGGAAAAACAAATTTTTTTCTCACCTTTGGAGGGGTTCACGGAAATGGAGAAGAAGATTAAGTTGGCATGAAATTTTAGATTAATTTCATGCTAATTTACCTTTAATATCAGCTTTAATTAATAGTAAATTCATTTAATTGGGAAAATACCATTTTACCCTTAATGAAACTTCATATTTACCATCAAACCAAGACAACTCAACCTTATCATCTTCAAAAAGTCAAAGATAAACAAACAAATTCACACTTTATCGATTTGCCCTTGAATTTTCCCAAAAATTACAATCTTGCCACTTTAATCTAACGGTCCAGATTTAACATAAAATTAAATCCTAAAATCCAATGATTTATATTATTTTCCAACATTTTAAAATGTGAAAATAATATTTTTAGGTCTAATTTATCATCCTTCAATTTTTTCTGAAATTTCTATTCGATTTGATTTACAAAATATTTCTCAAACTTTATCGCTTTATAAATTTTAATACAAAATCTGTACTAAAATTCTGATTCCCACATAAACATCATTCTTGAGGTAAACTATTTATTTATGGGATTGTATTGAAAAATTTTAAAATTACCATTTTAGTCCTTGAACTTTTCCAAAGTTTATACTTTGGTCACTTAACTTTCAAATACACATCACTCAACCCTTCCATAATAAATTAAAAGGCTACGTTTATTTACTTTAAATTATCGAAAAGGGCTATCCTAATCCAATTAGGTAGTGTGATTCGATATTTTAAAATGAATAAGTATTCTCTGGTGAAACCAATTTAAAATGAGGATATTTTAAAATTAATCAGGAGGGTAGAAAGAGAGATGTTCATATATTTAGATTTATCGAGAATGAGTCACTCAACCTTATTCGGTTGTTTACTCTCGGTATTTATAAATATTCAAACATTCTATATCTATCTTAAAGGTAAAGTAATTTTATTAATAAAATATTTGTTTGTTGCATAATCTTTAGGTAATTAAATACACCGTTCGATTATATAATGATAATATTTCTTATTTCTTTCCTAAAAAGGGGGAAATCATTGTTCTAGCTTATATTAGACAATGTTTCTCATCGGTTTAAAATGCCGAAATGTTGACAATTTAACCTAAAATTCTTGAGAAGAAATATTGGTAATTCACCGCTTTAGTTGGAAAAGGGAGGGACGCTTGTCCTACTTTATATTAGGTGGTTAATTCTCTCCAGTTAAATGTAACAGATTGTTAATTTTTTTTTCTCTCTGAGACCCTTAGGTTTGATTCTTCAACTACAAGTAACGTTCATCACTCCGATGCCATCCCCTATCAGTTACAAAGGGACTAGAGAATTTAGGGTATTGGATGACAACAGGTGGCGTTCGACGACAACGAAAATGGTAGGGCCCCGAATACCTAAAATGGTAACGTTAAACAGCTGGATGGATAAAAAAGTTTAGGCACATATTTAAGAAAAACGATATAGTTTGGACATTTATTTTATAATTAAGCTTAAAATTAAACTAAGCATAGCATGAGAACGAACGAGTTATAACGTTTGACTTCAGATTATTGTGTACTTGTGTTATACCCATTACAAAGTTCTTGATTAGAAATGCCTCATCGTAAACTGAAAAGAAAGAAAGAGAAAAAAAAAACAAACAAACAAACAAATGATGTTTATATTTCACAAATTCATCAGTGTATTATCAACCGAATGTCTTCATTCCGAAGAAATTATATAGATAAGAGTGTTAGCACATTATAAAACTTTAATCACGACAAAGATGATAAAAGAAGAAAGCGGTCGTGTATAGTAAAATACTCAAAAAAAAAAAAAAAGTGAACCAGTTCTGTGTAGTTCAACTTTTATATCCACCAGTTCAATGGTTCAAGCACCCTTACCATTGCAGCTACAATTCCAAATGATTCCAAAAAGAAATTTGGCTTTTGAACCAAGTGAATCACCATTTCTAACACTCTAAACACTCCATTGACATCCAAGTTGCCGGCTTTATTTTAACTAGTTGCTGCCATTGTGTCTTACAATTATAATTAGCTAATAAACCTCCAAATGAAGCAAACAAAGCAAACTTAATAATGAACAAAGATTCATAAATCAAACATAAAACAATACAGACGATAAGATTACTTTAAACTACACTAAGTTAAACTTCAATCCAGTCATTTACCTTCTGATTCGTTCATCATGCAACAGTAGATATACAAAATTGGAGTTCCTATCACCAAAGTAGATAATGAACAAAGCTGAAGCAACCCAAAGCACATTTTCCAGAATCTCCAAGTCCTAGCTCTTGGAGTTGCAGGTGAAAATGGTTGTAATCTTGAGCAAGCACCATCTTCATGCAGAGTCAAATTTGGTTCAAATTTGAATACATGATGAATTTAAGAAAAAGGAATTTATGAAAAATTGAGGGATTAAATTAAAAAAAACAAAAAAAAAAACCTGCTATCAAAAAGTGGAATTGAAAGTACATATGTATTCTACAATGGTTTAGGAGCATGTTGCTCAAATTTGATAAAAAATGAACTTAAAATAGAGGAGGAATTGAAGGAATAATGAAAACAGAGACTAAATCATAAAATTGTCAAAATACTTGGTTAAATTTTCTGTTTTTCAAGTAACTCGAAATTTCAAAAATTCAATTCGAATCGAACTCGAAAACGTAATCAATAATTTGAATTGACTTGAATAACTCAAAATTGACAAAAAGAATCAAATGATATTAGGTCAGTGAAATAACTGAATTTAAAAACATATGTTCTCTCCACAATCATCAAATCACCTTCATAAGCAGATTAAATAGAGAACAATACTATAAATATTTGTGTTTAAAAATATTTAATACAAAATTGGAGTTCAAGGAGCATCAATTGCTAGTTGATCAAATCACCTTTTCCGGTCATTCAACATAGTTCCCGGATTTTACAAATTGAGGAAACATGAATTATATTTGAATGCTATGAGAGTTTAAGATAAAATGCTCTAATATCAAACATTTATTATGAATATAAATTACACAAATGAAAATGGTCATACTTCACATTGGAATTTCCGGAACTGCTTTCTAATACAAGTGGCAGAATTTCAAGTGATTCTTATTGGAAAGGATACAAGGACAACTGAAACAAGCACAAGGGATCTTCTGCAGCCTTCGGAAGAGAATGAGAATGCTATAGTTTTGAAATGAAACCACCACGCAGTTTCGATTGAACTTCGACACCAGTTTGTGGATCTTTATTAACCCAAGCTGAGATGAGATGATGGGCAATTGCAAATGGCCCTGGAACAAACATGGGAGCAGGTTCCCCGTTTTTTGCACGTTTATCTGCTGCTGAACTCTCTTGCTGTCGCTTTTTCACACCTTTGCACATCTGATCTACTTTAGCCGCTGCTGTTCTTTGTGCCTTCTTGTATTCAGAAAATGTTAATGCCTTCCTCACATCTTTTCTACTGTGCCACTGAGCATCTAGATGAACATAAAGTTTCAGCATTATTATGATTTTAAGCCCGATCGAACAAGTGCACAATAATGGAAAACAACTTTGCTCTAGCTTGCTGAAGGCAGCGGCGGCTGTTGGGGTTTCGAGTATTTAAATAAAATACAATGGATCTTTACGAACCTCGTAAGTATGCTGTATGCATTACACATGTAAATATATAGCACATAGCACAAGTGTGATGAGTACTAAATTTCCAAGAGTGAGGAAAGACTAAAAACTATCATCTCAAAGAATAAAGCAACAAGGAATCCGAAATTGTAAATGGAATTACATTTCAGCATGCCCAAGTACCTTCTAGTTCTTCCTTATCCACATTTATATCAAGAGATTTCGCATATGCAAAGAACCCGACCATCAACTGACATGGTAGGCTACTTGGGCCAACTGAAAAGAGATCAGATTAATATGTTTAAAAAGTAACAGGTATAAATATGCATATATGAACTGGGAGCGAATGGAACGCATAAACATTGCACAGACCGGAGACCTGTTTTAAGAAACAAAACGTGCAAATATTTCAAGGTCTTAGATAATTATCAAAAGCTTTTTTGCAGACCAGATTTTCTGTTTCTACCTCCCAAATGATGGGCAAGAACCAAGTCGACTAAACAAATGCTAGAATGCAAGAAAAACGGAAGGAAAAAAGTGAAAAGATGGGAGAAGTGAGCACAGGCATCTAGTCTTACAATAGCACAATATGCCTGACCAGACAATTGGAGTCTAAACTACCATCAGCTTATACATGGTATATTCTATCCACCTTCCTAGCTAAAATTAATAATAAATAAATAAACCACTTTACAATGAGAACGGAAAAGAAATGTTTTATGCTTGTAAACAATCCTGCAAAATGATACCAGGCCATGGCTGAGAAGTATGATAGACAACTTCTCCAACATCAATACCGGTCTCTTCATATGCTTCTCGCCTCACAGCTTCTTCTAAGCTTTCCCCTGGCTAAGTACACCATAAGATATAAGGAATATAATCGCAGAAATAAGCATTTTTTTTTCTTTTCCTTCAACAAGGATGTTGAGAATAAAGGCTAAATTGCTTCCTTTCTCATGGCTTTCTCTAACCTTACAAATTACAGATAAAACATGATAAGAAGCTTGAAGATGCGGGAGACAGTTACCTCTATGAATCCGGCTAAGCAACTCCACATTCGAGGTGGGAATAGGGGTTGTCTACCTAAAAGTGCACGATCATTTTCTCTATCAATGATCAACATGATGACAACCTATTTGACAAGAAACATTAGTTATAAACATTGAAGAGACACCCCACAAATCCAATGGTTAAAATTTCAAAGTTGAAACATCAGTTTCGGCAGATAAGGGGAATGCTTTACTGGATCAAGACGAGGGTAAATACTCTTCTTGCATAACTCATTGGAGCATTGTTTCATTCTCCCGGCTTCCTTGGGGACGGTTTTATCTCCACAATGACCACAAAATCGTGAGTGTTTATGCCATTCGAGCAATGGCCTTGCCTGAAGAAATGTAATAATATTGTAAACACTGACACAAAACTCAGAAACGCCAACTGGATGATACTTCTGTTAGTGTCTATGCAGTAAGGGAGTTAGCAGAGTAAAGATTGGATTAGTAAGGGGAATGTTAGTGTATGATGTATGCATGTATTTCATACATGTGCATATGTGCATGTGTGAAGAGTGTGAGGTGGTTAGAGCTGTTAGAGCTAACAAACTCTCCCTCATCTCTAACATCTTTTCCCTCCATTTTATATTCCTTCTCTTTGTGTATAAAGGTAGTGAGTGTTTACTGTAATCAGGAAGCTTTTCCCATTATGAAAGAATGCATATTGTTTCCACTTTGTTCATTCAATACTTAGTTGTTTTAATACTCTAACATGGTATCAGTCGCCAAGGGTTGGGAGCTCCAGCATCGTTAGTCTACTGCTGCGTGTGGTTGTGTATGATGGAGATCTCCTCCGTGCAGCACATACCCAAACAGGATGTGGTTAAACTTTCTGAGGGTACCTATTTACTATGGAAGCATCAGGTATCTCTCATTATTGATGGATATGGTTTGCTTCGTTTTATTTCGGATGATGGGGAGTCTCCTGTTGCTTTTACAACAACGGAATCAGGTCATGCTGCGGATACTTCGACGTTTAATCTCTATCAGCAGCAAGATAACCTGTTAGCATCGTGGTTGCTCACTACGGTTAGTACTGAAATATTACCTCATCTCTTACTGGACTCACCTCTGCTTATGCTATTTGGACCACTATTGCTCGATTATTTGGTGCTAGATCTAGTGCCAAGATATCATCCCTTCGACATAGTCTCCACTCTCAACGCAAAGCTGGCCAGACAGTGAGTGAGTTTCTTGCCAAAGTCAAGTCCATTTGTGATTTGTTATGTGCTGCCGGTAGTCCAATTACTGAACACGAGCAGGTCAGTGTCATTCTTGCTGGTCTATCCATGGAATTTGAATCTGTTATTGCTATTGCTTCTCGCGATAGTTTGTCGTTAGATGTGCTCACTGAAATGCTGCTTGATTGTGAGACGCGACATAAGGCTTTTCTCACTGAAGGAATTTCAGCTAATCTGGTCTCTAGATCTACTGATACTAAGGAGCGTGATTTTGGATCTTCTGAGGTTACTGTTACTACCAAGCAAGATGATGCTACGCGAGGACAACCGGGTGATAATTATCGTGGGCGTGGTCGAGGACGGTTTGATAATTCAAATCGTCCTAAATATCAGCTTTGTGGTAAATTTGGTCATACAGTGCAAAAATGCTATCATCGCTTTGATAGAAACTTTACTGGTGTCTCCACTGATGCTCGAAGCAGTGAAGAGTGGAGGTCATCACAAAATTCTGGAAACAAGCAACAGTTTTCTTCAAATGCTCAAGCATTTACTCATGGGACGGGTGCATCTTTTCCCTCGATGAGTGCATCTTTTCCTTCCCCTCATGGCTTCTTTTATTCTAATTTGCATTTCATGATGCCTAGTTCAGGATCCTTTTTATCCAGGGGTTCCATGGTACTCTCCAATGCAAGTTTATGGTGGGTTAGATTCGGTTAAAAGTTCCCAAGGATTTGTGAATCCATCAGCTGCCTTTGTTTCCACTTCTCACTCACCTCGGCCAGCTATGTCCACTGGTAATATTGATCCAGTGTGGTATCCTGATACGGGGACAACACATCATGTTGCTAATGATGTGTCTCTTCTTAATACTAGTATGGCTTATACAGGTAATCATTGCCTTCATATAGGGAATGGAGAAGGTGTTAAAATTTCTCATGTTGGTCAAAGTTGTTTGCCCTCTAAAACGAAGCCATTAGTTTTGCAAAATGTCTTGCATGTGCCTACTATTCAGAAAAACTTATTATATGTTTCTCAGTTTACTCGGGATAATAACGTCTTTATTGAATTTCATCCTTTTGAATGTTTCGTGAAGGATTCTCGGACGCAGACCGTGTTACTGACAGGGAAGCTCACGGATGATGGTTTATACCAGCTTTTGTCACCTAATATAAAGCACATGCAATTAAATAATGTCTCTAAGTCGTGTGGCCTATTAGACCTATGGCACAAAAGATTAGGGCATGCAACTCTTAGTGTGGTTAAAACAGTAATGAAATCATGTCATATTGATGTCAATGAAAGCTCTTTATCTTCAGTTTGTAATGCCTGTTTACAAAGTAAAGCTCACAAGCTCCCTTTTTCGACTTCAATTACTGAGTACACTGCTCCTTTCCAGTTAGTTGTCTCTGATGTTTGGGGACCAGCTCCTATTATTTCAAGTGATGGTTTTGCCTATTATGTATCGTTTATTGATGTTTACAGTAGATTTACATGGCTCTATTTGATTAAGAGAAAGTCAGAAGTTATGGAATGTTTCCTCAATTTTAATAAACTTGTTGAAGTTCAGTTTGGTGTCAAGATTAAGATATTACAGAGTGATGGTGGTGGAGAGTATCAGGCGTTGAAAGGATGGTTTCTAGCTAATGGAGTTCAGCATCGAATCTCTTGTCCAAGTACATCTGAGCAAAATGGAAAAGCTGAACGAAAGCACCGTCATATTGTTGAAATGGGGTTGGCATTACTATCCCAAGCCTTTTTGCCTTTGAAATTCTGGAGTTATGCATTTACCTCAGCTGTGTTCCTAATTAATCGATTACCTACAGGAGTATTACATGGAAAGTCACCTTTTGAAGTCTTACATCAACAACCTATTGATTATTCAATGTTAAGGGTGGGTTGTGCATGTTTCCTTTGGTACGACCGTTTAATCACCATAATCTTGAGTATCGATCTAAGCAGTGTATTTTTCTAGGGTACAGTCCATCACACAAGGGGTATCGTTGTCTAGATGATGGGAGAATGTTTATTTCCAGACATGTAATTTTTGATGAGGGAAAATTTCCATATGAAGCTTGCAGGTTAAAGAGTCATGATCTGGCAGATTCGCATGTTTTAACGAGGGAGCTGCCACTTGTTTTTGCACCGCAAGTTCGAACTCAACAAGGATGTGGTAATTATGGTATGGCTGGAAATGGTGTATCACCTACGACTAATGAGGAAGGAGCTGGTAGTTCTAGTGTTCATGAAGGAAATAGTATAGAAACAACACAATCTTTGTCAAGCTCTACTGTTGTTCCTACTAATATTCCTAATCAACCAGCTGCTGAAGTTGAATGCAACTCTACTTTAAATGTTCATCCAATGCAAACAAGGAGTAAGAGTGGGATTTCGAAGCCTAAAATTTTTCAAGCTATAACTTGGACTAATGAAGAACCACATAACATCAAGCAAGCTTTAACTAGTCCGCATTGGAAAGCTGCTGTTCAGGAGGAGTATGAAGCTTTGATGAGAAATAAAACCTGGTCCCTCGTGCCTCTGCCGCCTGATCGAACAGTAGTAGCTTTGTAAATGTTCAAAATAAAGAAAAATGCAGATGGTTCAATTGCTCGCTATAAGGCAAGATTAGTGGCAAAAGGTTTTCATCAGCAGCCAGGTATTGATTTTCATGAGGTGTTTAGTCCGGTTGTTAAACCAGTAACGAGTTATCCTGACTTTGGCATTATCGAAAGGATGGAGCTTAGACAGGACATTAATAATGCTTTCCTAAATGGTGTGCTTGAAGAAGAAGTTATATGACCCAGCCTCCAGGTTTTGAGTTTGGTGGTAATCAATTGGTTTGCAAATTACATAAGGCTATTTATGGATTAAAACAAGCACCACGTGCTTGGTTTAATAGTCTGAGGAACTATCTCGAAACTGAAGGATTTGTGGTATCAAAATCTGATTCTTCTCTTTTTATTCGAAAGAAGGAAGATTGTTTGATGTATCTACTTGTCTACGTTGATGATATAATACTCACGGGTGATAAACCAAGTGAGGTGCAGGTGGTTATTGATAAACTGCATGAAAGATTTGCCTTAAAAGATAGGGTTTCTTAGTTATTTCTTAGGCATTGAAGTCAGTTATGATTCTGGAGGTGTTGTTTTGAGTCAGCAGAAATATATAACTGAGCTACTAAGTCGCAATGGTTTTCAAAATGCGAATGGTCTTCCTACACCTATGGTTACCAACTGTAAGCTTTCTGCCACTGATGGAAATCCTGTTGAGAATGTTTCTCAATATCGCAGCATTGTGGGAGCATTACAATATGTTGTGATCACTCGTCCAGACATTGCATTTGCTGTTAATCGTGTGTGCCAATTCATGCAAGCTCCTTGCAACTCATTTTCAAGCAGTGAAACGCATCTTACGATATTTACAAGGAACGATTGATTTTGGTTTGCATTTCTTGACCTCTTCTAGATTGTCTTTGACAGGCTTGCTGATGCAAGTTGGGGAGCAGATATGATGATAGGCGATCTACATCTGGGTATTGTATTTACTTTGGAGGAAATTAGTTGCATGGAGTTCAAGAAACAACAAGTTGTAGCTCGTTCAACAGCTGAAGCAGATATAGAAGTGTTGCATGTGCAGCTGCTGAAATGATGGCTTGAATCCTTGTTGAGTGAACTGCATATTGTTCCTCATGGGAAACCTACGTTGTGGTGTGACAACTCAAGTGCTGTTGCTGTTTGTGCCAATCCGGTTTTACACTCAAAATTCAAACATGTAGAACTTGATCTTTTCTTTGTTCGCGAAATGATTGCAGCAGGGAACTACAGGTCTTGAGGTCCTGCTATGAACAGGTTGCTGACATTTTAACTAAACCACTGTCAGCACCGTTGTTTATAAAACTAGACAGAAAAACGTGGTTGTTCAACTACAATGTGGAGTTTTTAAAGCATGAAGTTTGAAGCAGTAGGGAAATGTTAGTGTCTATGCAGTAAGGGAGTTAGCAGAGTAAAGATTGGATAGTAAGGGGAATGTTAGTGTATGATGTATGCATGTATTTCATACATGTGCATATGTGCATGTGTGAAGAGTGTGAGGCAGGGAAACTACAGGTTCTTGAGGTCCCTGCATATGAACAGGTTGCTGACATTTTAACTAAACCACTGTCAGCACCGTTGTTTATAAAACATAGACAGAAACTGTTGGTTGTTCAACTACAATGTGGAGTTTTTAAAGCATGAAGTTTGAAGCAGTAAGGGAAATGTTAGTGTCTATGCAGTAAGGGAGTTAGCAGAGTAAAGATTGGATTAGTAAGGGGAATGTTAGTGTATGATGTATGCATGTATTTCATACATGTGCATATGTGCATGTGTGAAGAGTGTGAGGTGGTTAGAGCTGTTAGAGCTAACAAACTCTCTCTCTCATCTCTAACATCTTTTCCCTCCATTTTATATTCCTTCTCTTTGTGTATAAAGGTAGTGAGTGTTTACTGTAATCAGGAAGCTTTTCCCATTATGAAAGAATGCATATTGTTTCCACTTTGTTCATTCAATACTTAGTTGTTTTAATACTCTAACAAACGCCAACTGGATGATACTTCAATGACATTGTTCACTTTAAAAAAAGTCAAGTTTTTAACAGAGAAATGAAACTTCAAAGGCACGAAAACACTAAAATCTATAAACATTATAGAAGTATGAATAAAAAATCACCACTTTTTTGCACCACTTACATGACCAGCAATAGCCAATTCACCCATAACACAAGGATCAGTCCAATCAGTAGCCATCATCAGTGTCCTAAGATCCACAAAGCAAAGCTGTCTGCAACTCAATTCGGAAACCAACCAAGCATCCACAGAAACATCAATAGCCCAATAAACAACATCTTCATCGGCTCTTGAACCCAAATAAACAAAGGACGTTTCGGTCAACTGAACCCCATAATTCCCCAAGAGACCTTTACAATCGGCCAAACTGATCCACCCCAGATGCCAACTGGGAACAGCACCATCCCCTCTAACGGAAGATGAAACCAAAGGCCTGCCCTTTTTGAAAAGCAAGACCTTGAAAAGAGGAGACTTTGGAGGAGGGAGGTTTTCTGGGTTTTGGTGGAGATGGAGTTTGAGAGATTCAAAAGCTGAAGAAAGTGAAACTGGGTCGTGCAGTTTAGGCGTTTTGGATCTTATAGGGTTGCCTGTAAATACGTGGGAACTAAGGTCAATGGCCATGGCGACCGGCAGAAGAAATTATGGGTTCTGTCAGGATTATAGTATTTGAGAGGGGTAGCGAGTTGGTGACGGGAGAAGAAAAAATCAGATTAATATAAACTGATTTTGTGCAATTTTTTGTTGGATAAATTACATCATTCCTCACTAAACTATATTCTCTTTTATATTCCTCACCTAACTTTCAATTTGATCAATTTACTCACTAAACTTTACAATCGAATCATTTTGCTCGACCGTTTTCTCTCTAACCTCTAATGACATGGGTTTTTATTATAATTTAATATGAAATAATTAAAAAATAAAATAAAAACCGGACTCCATTTTGTTGGAACTTGATCTGAAGTCAAAAAATTTGAGATTGAAAGTAAGGAAACTGAAATGTTTCAGTCAAATTCACGGATTTTGTGACATTTTTCAGTGAAACAACCACTAGATTCAGACTCAGGGGTCGAGACAAACCAACTAATGAAATTTGGGCCGAAAGACCACCATCTACTGTGATCAATGGTGACCGGAATGAAAATAATGTGGTGGTCGGTGGAGAAAGAATGAAGAAGAGAAGGAAAAAGGGTAAATTACACCATGAGTCACTGAACTTTACTCTCTTTTCTATTTTACTCATCAAAACGACGTCGTTTTGGAGTATATTTGAGTTTTTCAAAACAAGGTCGTTTTGATGCTTGTGTCATGTCATAACGCCGTTAAATAGTTAATGGTAGAGTGAGCAAAATGATTCAATCTGTAAAGTTCAGTGAGCAAATTGATCAAATTGAAAGTCAGGTGAGAAAAATAGGAGAGAGAGTAAAGTTCAGTGATGAACAGTGTGATTTACCCTAATTTTAATAATAAGATAAAATATTTATTTAGCTTGAATAATAAATTATTAATAATATTTTACATAATAAACAAAATTTACATGCACGAACCATCTTTACTGGAACACAATGGTGATCTCTGAAATGAAATTAAGAAGCAGAAACTCTACTGAATGATCATATGAATACGATTGTTTTAGTCACAGAAGAAAAAAGGATCATATGATTTATGATGTGTATCATGCATATACCTAAATTGACATTATCCTAATATATATATAAAATATTTACAATATTGATTGGATACAATCTTAACTTTTGCTTTGAATTTGATGCTCAAATTTACAATCCCTGAAAGTAATGGTAACAAAGAAAGAATGAAGAGACAATTTGATGAAAACTCTATTTTATAAGGGCCAAAACAACCATGGCTGACACTTTATTTTCCAAAACAAAGAGAAGAAGATTAAAATGTTGAATTCTCTTCAAATGAATCAATGGAAGGCAAAAATCTCGAAAGAATCATACTAGCATTTGAAGTTCAAAACTCTTAACTCTCCACTTGACTGGGCAATTTGTGCACCAATGGCATATCATCAAGCCAATCCCCATAAATCTTATTGATTTTCCTTGTTCCTTTCCATTTAAGAAAGCACTTCTTAGCCTGTTTTTCCTCATTTGATGGAGGGGCATTGACTGTCACTATAGGTGGATCATTTGCAGGAAGGTTGTGCAGCTTTGTTGCAATGGAACCAATTATTGTCAAACCTGGACCTGCATTCCCAAAGTCGCCATCATCACGAACACCTATTGACTTCAATTCTGATTTCAAGAACAGGCAATGAATTAGATACAGATTTTCAGTCGATATCCCGATTTAGAGAAGAAGTTCATCATTAGTCTTCATGGCAAATAATGCATCAATCAAACACTTGAAAGCATATGCATATAACCAATGTATGCGCATTAAAACTTGATCTCATATTTAGAGTTTCAAAGTAGTAATTCCTTAAGTCATAGTCTAACTTGTTAATGGTATTTGAAACCATCTTAAACTCAAACTAGGAAGTAAAATGGCAGAAATAATAAGTTAAATCAGATCCAGAACATGAAAGTTAACATGACACATACCTGATTGTCCGTGAGCAAAGTGACATTTCTCACCAAAGGGGCAATGACCAGTTATTTCCCACTTTGTGCATAACTTCGTTTTCCAATAAACCGGATACGCTGGCTTCATATTTCCTCGGAAAGCATCAGAACCAGTGCTGTTTCCAGGCCTACTGGTTCCTTGTTGATCAGATGGAGTTCCATGAGCAGCTGCTGGACCTGTTGTGCCGATGCTAATACCCGAGCTCTTCCTAAACCTCCCCATGTCATTCCTGAACTTTGATGGAGCTTCATGAAGGAAATTACATCTGTCCCCATACGGACATTCCTCGCCATTAAAGAACTTCTTACAGAGCTTCATCTGACGAATTATCTTCTGATCGTCGTCCCAATTACCCGATTGACGATATTCCTCCTCACGTCCACCTCCAACAAGTTCTTGCCAATTAGGAGGAGGCTGGCGAAGATCCTCAATGCCATGAGCAAAGTTGCAACCTTCACCATTCCTACAAGTCCCCAATCTAAATTTCGCACACATCCGGGTTTTAAAGAAGATTTTATTTGTTCCCTTGTTGACAGGAGGGTTCAAAGGCGCCCTGGAATTTGCAGGCAAGCATTGCACCACACTAGATTGACCATCTTCAGAAAGTCTAGGTCTTTTGAAAGGAGGTTGTTGTTGTTGTTGTTGTTGTTGTTCAGCCTCTGAGTTTGGGTCAAATTCAGACCAAATTCCAATGGCATCAGTGCCAGCATAAGTTGATTGGGGCAATCTCAAAATCGAAGAAGAAGATTCAGGGTAACTCATAATGACATAAAGGCTTATAATCGAATTCAACACTATCCCAAAACTTCAAACTTTCGATTAATCTCCCAAAAGCAAACCGCTGAAGTGTGTTGGATCAATGCTATAAGATTGAAACCTAAGAAAGACGCAGAACAACAAAAACTCAATCAGATAACAATCAAAGAAACCGATAATTCTATATAAAAGAAAGATGGGCAAATAAAACTAGATTGAATTAAATGAGAATGGAATCCAATCGGAGTATAAACAGAAAGCAATAAAAACATGAGATGGGTATTTGATGAAAAAACAGCAACCAAACAAAAACTTACCAGTATGGTATAACAAAACGAATAACTTGAGAATGTTGATGATGAATGCTCAATGTTCAGCGAAGAATAAAAGATACCCAGATGAGAATTCGGATCAAATAACGAGTTTAAATGGACAAACTAACAAATTTGTAAGTTTAAGAATGGGAATTGTTAGAGGTTTTGAAGTATTTATAATGAGAAAGAGAAAAACTTGGAAAAGTAGGCAGTATAGAATTGCATTTATAGAGAGAGGTATGCCAAAGCAAAGCCCTAGCCGCCTTAAACAAAATCCTAAATCAGGAACAAAACGAACTTTTAAACGTGGAAATAGACTAGGAGTTCAGGGTTCTTATAATTATTATTTTTCATTATCAATAATCAATACTAAAATTCAGCACCTTTAAAGATAAAATTAATATAATTGGACATATAATACTTATTTTATCATATTATTTTTGGTAAAGTAAGGTATTATCATAGTTCTCGTTAAAAATTATTTCTAAATTTAATATAGGAAAAGAGTATCCATGATAATATTATAAAAAATGTTCGAGATAAACTCGACAAAGTCAAATCAAAATAAAAGCAAAATCGACAAAACAATCATAAAGACAGAACTTAAACTTGCACCAAAACATTAATCAATCTCCATCTCATGTTTGTCGTGTCGATTTTCTCGAAGAATGTGAATATGAAATAAATTTAAAAAATTGAAATTTTTGAAAAGATTTGAAATATTTGGAGTTGTCATCAATCTTTGTGATTGAGTAGGTTGAAAACTCGAGATACGTCCTTTTAAATAAAAATTTAAAAAGATGGGATTCGGCTTGCGATTCAGAGATTATGGGTTCGGGAGTCAATTACGCTTTGGGAAGGATTAGCACCCCACAACGCCCATAAATTGATACCTTCAATTATGAATTTATCCCTATATTGAAAATTAAGAAATTCAAATATTTGTTTAATTAATGATCCTTTTATTCCATAATATAAGAATATTTAAGCCTAGTTAAAGAATTTTAGAGAGACGCACAATATTTGTCTATTTCCAATTAAAGAAGAAACTAACCCATAAACTAACCCCTTAATTGGAATTAAGACGATTATTTCTTATTTTTTTATCGAAATAATAAAATATTACCATCCTTAAAAATATATTATATTAACCAATTATTAAACCCTAAAAGAGAAATAAAGGTGACAAGCTAGTCAAATTATTATTTAAAAGAATAGGGATGTTCTTTGATTTAAAGAACAAAGACCAAGCCTTTGACGATAATCAAACAGCGAGTCATTAGCAATTAAACGTAGGAACAAACATCTACCCTTTTGTTTTAATAAATGAATCCATTTAATTTTCAAAGTGACCACTAGTAGAATATTTATTTATTTGAAAATATTGAACAAGAAATGTCTAGTTATTTTAAGATCATTTCTTTCAATATTAAAAAAATAGAGATTCTATTTTATTCAAAATTATGAATTTATTTATTGATTTTCTAATTAATTTTATTAAAGAAACTAATACTAAAAAGGATAATTCCAATCTTAATTAATTTCTAATTAAAGAACTTAAACTAAAGATTTAATTAATAACATAGACTAAAACTAAAGATCTTAAAGTCTAAGACTTTAATAAAAATCTAAGATTTGATTTTAATGTTAGCGATTAAATTAAAAGATTGAAAAATCTAAAGGTTTTATTCTATGTTTAAACGTATGACCATTTTAAAAAGATTCATAATTGATATCCAATATTAATAATTAAACATTTTTTAATAAAGCAATCAAGGCAATTGGAAAGAAATTACTAAATTGAACTCATTCAAAATTCGGAGAACAAATTACAATTATTTGGTGACTAAAATAAAATAAATGAAGTGCCACATCCAAAAATAAAAACATGCTAATAATGTAGTGTTTTTATGAAGAAATTATCCCAAAAATTTCACAATATAAAAGACAAAATTTTTGAGAAAGCTTTATTTTCAACGCATCAAAATTTCTCCTACCCCCAAATCCTCTCATCTAGCCGAAAATTTCAAGCAAAAAACCTCTCAATTTCTTTCCAATGTTCATCACGTTCATCCTTAGTTCATCAAAAAAACCCAAGCTAGATCCACTACAAACACCTAAAACAACCCAAAACTTGTTTTCTGGATCAAACACCCACATTTCTCAAGAAACATCAAGTGTTCATCACTTACAAACAAAATTTGATCTTCCACCAACACAAAATGTAACCCAACGTTTTTTAAGATCAAAGCTCAACTCTTCCTCCTAAATCTCAAGAACACCATTAACACTCCCACAAACTATCCAAATATTTTTCAATCCCCAAACCTAAAACCATAGTTCACAAGAGACAAAACCCAACTTCCCTTCTTCACTAACCAAAACCTGACATAGGCTACCAATTCCTCAACCGAACCGACGCAGATCGACCATCGACCACCCTACCAAAAATTGTCAGTCGAACGTCGGCCACCACATATCCAACACCTATTCGAACTAAAAAAACCCAAAAAAAAGTTTACCTTGCACCTAAAGCGATGATGTACGGTAGTGGTGGAATCTCGAGGGTAAAAACTTCTCTCCTAGCTCTTTCATTCGAAATCTTTGGATAAATGCCTTGACTCTTGCTCTTGGTGGTACTATATGCATACTGTTGACGATTACTTGTGATGAATGATAATGATTGAAGTCCTTTTATACTAATGATGTTTGGCCTCTAATTCAACCGTTCCCGCTAAAAAACGGTTAGAATGAGCTCAGATTCATGAAGGTTATTTGAACTCTAATTTTCCTATTTTTTTTTTTGATTTTTACAGGCTTCGAATCAGCCGGTGACGATAATAGCACGAAGGCGACACGATGGCGATGCGATGGCAGCTTGACAAAAGAGATGACAGGACCAACGCATGAGTCGCATGCGCCGGTGAACTCCCCTGTTAGTGGTGACGTCGGTGATACTTTGGAGAAGATGAAGCTTGGCCGTTGGATTCATCTTTGATCCAACGGCTTAGATTGCTTTGTATATCTTTGGTGTGGCTTGGTGACATGGCTTCACGAGGGCCATTGGATTAATCTTTCTGTCTGCTCTTGTGGGTACTATAAAATGAGTGCGGATATGTGTACAAGTATCCAAAATCGAACAAGTAATAAAGTGGTAAGTTGAGTATCGTCACCACAGGGAATTGGGGAAATCAGATAGGTTTGTCAAGGCACTTTACTTTGTCACCTAAGTAAAGTTAGTGATGGTATATACAAATGATAATGCAGTGGCAAAATAGAATGACTGATGTGGAAATGGAATGATGGTGGTGTGGTAGTAATTGGATATGTCGTGGCAAATGAAATTGTAATGCGTGGGAAAAAAATACAAATGTCAAGGCAAAATAAAATGCAAATACTTGATTTGATATATATATATATATATGACTTTAGCCTTCTCACACGACAAGCAGCGATAATTTGCCAAGGTATTCTCTCGAACCCTCAAGACCTCCTTAGGAAAGACTACTCTCATAGCTCCTATAACCTTAAGGCATTAAGTTTCATAAACAAAACAGATTAAAGCATAACAAAGCAACCATTCATTGAAATAAAAATTTAAACATCCAAGTGAACTCCCACCAAATAGGATTAGTTCATGGTGGGGTTCGAAATAAACAAGCACAAAGTAAGTATCATTCGTTCCTTACAACCCAATAACAAAATATGAAAGCAAAGAACTAAGGGAGGAGAGAAAGCCTTCGACGTGCACTGCCCAATGCTTCCCTCGGACAACAAGCACTGCTCCTAGTGAACTGGCTCCTCTCAGATGCTCAGGAAGCCACTCCCTCTGGCTTGTCAAGGAGAAATGCCACGGCAAGTAGGATTGACGAAGAAAGATGAGACCTTCTCTCTCTAACTTTTTAAGCTCAAATCTGGGTGGAACCAAAGTCTTTAACAATGTGGATTCATCCTCTATTTATAGGGGAAAATACATGATATTAACTTTCCTAAGAAACCCCAAAAATCATGGTTAAGTGCTTGAAAGCTGAGCAAAATAGACTATGATGCAGCCTGGGTAGTTGGCTGATGGACCGGTATAATCCCGTCGCAGGCGCCCAAGGACAGACAAGATCTGCAGGGTCAGACGGTGTCATCAGAAAAACCGGCGGTTGCAGCGCCAATTCCTCCAGGCATATCTTCGAGGTGGATTTCTCGGGCAGAGGGCACGGAAAGTCGGGGACAACTGGCTGGAAAAATATCTTCTTTCACCTTGTGCGGTTTCGAAATGTCAGTCGAACTTGGCATTTTTATTTAAATCAGCAATCTCCTTATGTCACGGCATTTTCTTTCCTCTTTACCTTGCTTTCAATACCTGCACATCATCAGACAAGTACCTTTCCCATAAAGCAACACCGCTGTAAAAATAAAATGCCACGGTAAACCGATATTCACCGCATGCAACTAAATGTATCTATATGGTCCTAAATAAGGCTTTATACATTCAATAACTTAAGTTAAAAGGTCCCAAAATGTGGCCTTTTACGGAGTTATCACACCCCAAACTTAAGCTATTGATTCTCCTCAAGCAATGGATAGTAATAAGCAAAACAAAAATACCATGACAAATTCAGAAGCAGAATAGTTTATGGGATAAAATTTCAACCCTCAGCACATATGGCTTCAACATGCTAGACTAGGTCGAGAAATCTAGTACTGTCCCCTATGGAAAGATTCTTTGTGTGGGTGTGCGCGTGTTTGTATCCAGTCCATGCTTAACAAACTTAAAT